AGAGGCCAACAGCACCTCTTCCATAAACTGACATATTTTCCGAATATTACCACTATTCAGTACAACTCTTAAAATTACTTGTCCATATTCCATAGCCGTTGTACTTGACCATAACTTGAACCTCATGGAACATTTCAAAGCGATCAGCGCTATATTTCCGCCCTGTAGTATGGTAATAGTTTACTAAATAATATCTGAATACGAAAGCACCTGTAAACATTTACGTGTAACTCCCACATCAGAATACATACTACAATTGGTATCAATTTAAAGGCCAACCACTCCTCTTGGATATACTATCAACTTCTAGGCTCTATGTTTTTCAGGAGTAAATATATACGCTATAGAATAAAAATTTTGTCATTTTTCACACAAAAGTCAGGGTCCATTTGACTCGCTAAATATTGACCGATCTTTATCAAATGCTTATTCTTTGGCCCAGTCCCATTTTCCATTTAAAAATTCGAGTTGTTTTGACCATAATTGCGGCCTCTGGAGCGACCAGAAAAATCGACAGAAATGAACTATTTGGTCCATTTCATCCCCTAAATATTAACCGATCTGATCTACATGCAAAATTTCGTGAAGATTGGTCCATAACTGTGGCCTGTATCGTGTTTACAAAAAATATAATGGACAGACAGACGGACGGACACACATGTCTAGATCGACTCAGCTAGTCGAGATATGACGATCGGTATGCTTAAAGCTATAATACCCTGACAACATAGTTGTGTAGGGTTTAAAAATATGAAATATATAGAAAAAATAAGTCCTGAAATCTCAGGAATTTTTTTTTCTATGTGGAAAAAATGAGTCCTGATTTGTCAGGATTTTTTCATTATAAAAAAATGAGTCCTGAGGTCTCAGGAATTTTTTCTATATAGAAAAATGAGTCCTTGGGTCTCAGGAATTTCTTTCTACATTAAAAATGAGTCCTGATGCCTCAGAAAAAATGAGTCTTGAAATCTGAGGAATATTTTCTAAATAGGAAAAAATGAGTCCTGAGATCTGAAGATTTTTTCTGAGTAGAAAAAATGAATGAATGTGGCCTGTATCGTGTTTACAAAAAATATAATGGACAGACAGACGGACGGACACACATGTCTAGATCGACTCAGCTAGTCTATGATCGGTATGCTTAAAGCTATAATACCCTGACATCATAGTTGTGTAGGGTATAAAAATATGAAATATATAGAAAAAATAAGCCCTGAGATCTCAGGAATTTTTTTTCTATATGGAAAAAATGAGTCCTCATGTGTCAGGATTTTTTCATTATAAAAAAATTAGTCCTATATAGATTTTTTTCTATATAGAAAAATGAGTCCTTGGGTCTCGGAATTTTTTTCTACATAAAAAATGAGTCCTGATGCCTCAGAAAAAATGAGTCTTGAAATCTGAGGAATATTTTCTAAATAGGAAAATGAGTCCTGAGATATGAGGATTTTTCTGAGTAGAAAAAATGAGCCCTGAGTTCTCAGGTTCTCAGGATTTCCTTCTATATAGAAAAAATGAGTCCTGAAGTCTCAGGAATATTTCTTTATAGAAAGATTTTTTGAGGTATCTAAACAAGACGTTGATTTTTTAAGGTACATCTTTGAGGGTTTAAAAATGCGTGGACGTTTTAAAGATTATTTTAAAATATTTAATAAGCATCATGCTGGGGCATATGTCCTCTACTTGGTCAATTACTGCCTTAAATTAATCGAATCTGTTATTTCAAGCCATCATACCCTTTAAGGTATTTTAACTTCACATTTTCCAATTTACCTTCTACTATTACTAATAATATTACCCTAATCAATAACTTATCACCTGGATACTTTGTTTATTTTTAATTAAATCAAATCTCATACTCTTTACATGGACAACAAAAACAACAACGACATCTATTATACATAGATGATTGGTGTGATTGGTCGATTCCCCAGATACACACACTCAAACACACTGCAACTTAATGCCTTTGGTAATTGCAGTAAAATATTTTACCACAAAATGAAAGAGGAAAAAAAACTGAAATAACTACAGAATTAATAAAAAGAAAACAAAAGAAAAAATGAACTTAAAGCATACAAAATGATGATGGGGAAAGAAAGCCATACATCCATCCCATTATATTCTTCAAACTACTACTATACCCTACAATAGAGGACCAAACAAAAAAATCAGAAACAATGGACGTCATTGTAGGGGTACCCACCTCCATACGTATGCTCACAATCCTACTTCGACAACTTGTGTTCCCGACACTAACGCCATTGTGCATGCCATGAAGACCTGAAACCACAACAAGGATACATTGAAGCAAAGTAGTTCATGTCGTTCATATAGGAATCCTTTTTCGCACTCTAATTCATTGTTCTCGACTAAAAGAGATGGAGCAGGGGGTTTTTACTCTTTATTACCTCAGTGTAGTTATTGGTGGAGGGTATTGAATGGGAACGGGGGCCTGGCAGTGCGAGTGTAAATTTGTTATCCTTCGTTGCAATCAAAACAATGTAAAAGTGACAGAAAACCTATTGTTCACAACAGACTTCAGTGCACGGAGATGTTGATTTTCCATATGAGATAGAACATGTTTTATGGGAATGGGATGATAGAGGAGGACACTCACACGATACTAAGAGGAATAATGGGATAATATCTATCTAATATGAGACCAGAGAAGATCTACTGTATGAAGGTGAAATGGGGTATTTCTTGAGGAGCTAATGGAAATCCTTATAAGAAATATCAAAAAGAGTGGAGATGAGCTGAAAAGAGTCTTTATAGAAAAAATGAGGGGAGTCTTATTCGGTTTCTGAGGGGAGTTTATATTGACGAACTGAGGGGAGACTTTAGAAGATCTGAGGGTAGTTTTTATAGATGACTTGAAGCAGGAAGTCTTTACGAAGGACTAATACTGGCCCTGTTTTTTTTTATAGACTATTTTTTCAAGGCCTATGTCAATGGTCCATTTTTTAAAGAATATTATTTTAAGGTCTATATCAAGCGTGAATTATGACGAAAATATTTGTTAAGGCCTATATTAGGCTTTATATTTTTAAAGAATATATGCAAAAAATTAGCCAATATAGCAAATGGAGTATAGAAGTTTAGAAAATTTTTTTTATATAGAAAAAATTTGTCCTGATTTTTTCTATATAAAAAATGAGTCCTGAGGTCTTGAGAAATTTTTTTCTATATAGAAAAATAAGTTCTGAGGTCTTAGGAACTTTTTTATGTAGAAAAAGTTGGTCATAGGGTCTTAGGAATTTGTTTCTATATAAAAAACGAGTTCTGAGGTCTCAGCAAACTTTTTTTTCTAAAAAAATGAGTCCTGAGGTCTTACGATTTCTTTTCTAAAAAGAAATATTAGTCCTGAGGTCTTAAACAATTTTCTATATAGAAAAAAATGGGTCCTGAGATCTCAGAAAATTTTTTCTATATAAAAATAATGAGACCTGAGATCTCAGGAATTTTATTCTATATAGAAAAAATTAATCCTGAGGTTTTAGATATTTTTTTCTATATTGGAAGAATGAGGTCTGAGGTCTCAGGACTAATTTTTTCTATGTAGAAAAATTTTTTTCTATGTAGAAAAAATTAGTCCTGAGGTCTCAGGCATTTTTTTCTATATAGAAAAAATGAGTCCTGATACCTCAGGCATTTTTTTCTACAAAGAAAAATGAGTTGAAAGGACTTAGGAAGTGTTTCTATGTAGAAAAAATTAGTCCTGAGTTCTCAGGAGTTTCTTATATAGAAAAAAATGAGTCGTAAGGACTCAAGAATTTTTTCTATGTAGAAAATTAGTCCTGAGGTCTCAGGCATTTTTTTCTATATAGAAAAAATGAGTCCTGATACCTCAGGCATTTTTTTCTACAAAGAAAAATGAGTTGAAAGGACTTAGAAAGTTTTTCTATGTAGAAAAAATTAGTCCTGAGTTCTCAGGGGTTTCTTATATAGAAAAAATGAGTCGTAAGGACTCAAGAATTTTTTCTATGTAGAAAAATGTGTCTAGATGTCTTAGGAATTTTTTCTATATAGAAAATGAGTCCTGAGGTCTCAGGTTTTTTCTATAGAGAAAATATGAGTCCTGAACTCTCTGAAAGTTGTTTATATAGAGGAGAAATGAGCCCTGATGTGTCAAGAATTTTTTCTATATCAATAAATAGTCCGGAGGTCTCAGGAATTTTTTCTATAAAGAAAAAAGTGAGTTCTGAGGTATTAGAAATGTTTTCTATATAGAAAAAAATGAGTCCTGAGGCATCAGGAATTATTTTTGTATAAAAACGGAGTCCAGAGGACTCGGGAATTTTTTGTATATAGAAAAATGAGTTCTGAGCTCTCAGGATTTTTTTTTTTCTATATTGAATGAGTCCTGAAGTCTGAAGAATTTTTTTCTATATGGTAAAATGAATCCCGGGGAGGTATTAGGAATTTTTTATATATAGAAAAAAATGAGTTCTGAGGTATTAGGAAATTTTTCTATAAAGAAAAAACGAGCCCCGAGGGTTCAGGAATTTTTTCTATATAGGAAAAATGTGTCCTGAGGTCTCAGAAATGTTTTCTATATAGAAAAAATGAGTCCTGAGGATTTAGTTTTTTTATTGAAAAAATCCCGAGTAAAATCCCCCTGGAATGTCCCACATATGGATTGCATGCCTGCACACAGTTCTGTTTTAAAAATAAATGAACGTTTATATTCCGCGAGCAACATCAATGAATAGAATGTAAACGCAACCAATACCCTCAACACCTCAGCTCAACCGCCCGATCCAAAGCAAACAACTAACGGCTTGCCTGTAAACACCATAAATGTAGAACGATATTCCCTCCGAGTACCACGGAGGGAGTGTGATTGATGTGGCTCATATAAAAGATAAATTGATAATGGGGGAGCGAAAGTGCCGTAGAAGGCCAATAGCCAACATCCCCATCCGACACTACAGGGACTGTCGGCTCTTGCATCGCATCGAACTGCATTTGCACAACACCATTTAACATTTACTTACGTGAACTATCATATTGTATGCCCTGGAATTCATCCAGGCACGGCAGGGCGGCCAGGGTGGCACGCGGTGTACGGGGCCAGCAAAGTATCGAATCGAAATTTGTTAGGCAATAGCCGCTGTTATTGCCAAAGGTCGTTGTATCGGTGTGTTCCTGCATAAGACAAAGCAGCTCGGCACTTTGATTGATCTCATCGAGTTCAGCCGATGATAAATGTAGTTCCGTGGTTAGGGTTAAATCATCGCCGGCCAGCAAGGGGGGCCCGGCCTCACCACCGGTCGTCGATACCACCATCCTTTGTAAGGGTTTGGCATCCTGATGCATCGTCAGTGGCGTTTGACCGGCAATGGTCATTGTGGCTGTTGTTTGTAATGAATTGTTGTTGTCATTCATTGTTGTTGTTTTATTTTCGGATCGTAGTCCTCGTTGTGGTGGAGGTGGTGTTGAATATGGCGGGGAAGTTTTATTTGTAGTTGTAGTGGTTGGTTGGTGGTTTGGTATTTGTGTTGCGGCTTCGTAGGCAAATAAATGGCTCAACAATAAACTGCCGTCGATATTTGAAATGCCATCGCTAATTCGTTGGTTGCCACTTCGGCGGATGATGATGATGGTGCTGCTGACAATGCTGTCATTGTGGGCGTGTGACTTAAAACCATTGATGGAAACCACGGCGAACTGTAACTTGCGTGTGGGAACATTCGTTGTAAGTGTTGCATGTTCAGTTGGGTTTTCTGTTGTTAATTTTTATTTTGTTGTTCGTTTTGGTTTTATCGGTGGTTCATTTGTTTCAGTTGCTGCTGTTGTGGAAATCTGCAAGGCCAGAGAAAACAAAATTAATAGTTGTTGTCAGTTCACTTAACATTGTTTTTTGTAAAAAAATACAAAAAAAAAAAAAACAGAAGTCCTGAAGGTTATTTGTCAGAACGAGGCCAGATGAATTGTGTAGGACGGAGGTCTGATTTAACCTTAGCTTAAGGTTAAGAATTGATATCTTGTGAGACCATAGACCGCATTTTTTTCTATAGAAAAAATCGATGAGACCAAAGGTCGCATTTTTTTCTATAGAAAAACTCGGTGAGAGGCTCGCACTTTTTTCTATAGAAAAAAATTGGTGAGACCGCAGGTCGGATTTTTTTTTCAAAAGAAAAAAATCGATGAGACCACAGCTCCCATTTTTTTCTATAGAAAAAAAATTGGTGAGACCACAGGTCGCATTTTTTTCTATAGAAAAATTATTCTTTAGAGACAGAGTTCTCATTTTTTATAAAAAAAATAATTGATGAAATCGAATGAATGAGCTTTACTAATAAAAAAAATTCTGACCCTGACCAGCCCCCTTCTTTTTCTCCAGTACTAACATATTTTATTAATACCTACCCTGTAGTTACGTTCGAACAAATATTCTATTCCATTGTTTTCTATGTTTCGTATTTTCTACACCCGAATAAATTTGTTGTCCATTTGATACATTCACACAGTAACGACAAAAAATTGGAAATTCAATCGCTTAACAAAAAAAAAACAAGAACTACAACAAATAACTAGTTGTTCGTGTGTGTTTTTTTTTTTTTTTTTTGCTACTGTTTGATAAAATGTGGTTTACAACCAACAGCTGTAAAACGACCATTCAAGGAATTGACTTGAATGTGAATTAAATTCTCAAATGGATTTAAAACTATTCGTTTCTGGAGGACAATAACACAAGGCACCAACAACAACAATAAATGATAAACTACATGGCTGGTCAGAAGACCAACATTGCTCCTCGTTTTTAGAGTTCTGTGTCTGTCTTTTATGGCAGATCACATATTGGGGTGTAAATTTGGGTTTTATTTCTAACTTTCTAACTTTTTCTTATCTCTACAAACCTCACCATTGGCTGATTTGAAATGAAAAAAAGTGAGTCCTGACATCTCACGATTTTTTTCCTATAGAAAAAAGTGAGTCCTGAGGTCTCACGAATTTTTTTCTATAGAAAAGAAGTGAGTCCTGAGGTCTCACGAATTTTTTTCTATAGAAAAAAAGTGAGTCCTGAGGTCTCACGAATTTTTTTCTATAGAAAAAAAGTGAGTCCTGAGGTCTCACGAATTTTTTTCTATAGAAAAAAAGTGAGTCCTGAGGTCTCACGAATTTTTTTCTATAGAAAAAAAGTGAGTCCTGAGGTCTCACGAATTTTTTTCTATAGAAAAAAAGTGAGTCCTGAGGTCTCACGAATTTTTTTCTATAGAAAAAAGTGAGTCCTGAGGTCTCACGAATTTTTTTCTATAGAAAAAAGTGAGTCCTGAGGTCTCACGAATTTTTTTCTATAGAAAAAAAGTGAGTCCTGAGGTCTCACGAATTTTTTTCTATAGAAAAAAAGTGAGTCCTGAGGTCTCACGAATTTTTTTCTATAGAAAAAAAGTGAGTCCTGAGGTCTCACGAATTTTTTTCTATAGAAAAAAAGTGAGTCCTGAGGTCTCACGAATTTTTTTCTATAGAAAAAAAGTGAGTCCTGAGGTCTCACGAATTTTTTTCTATAGAAAAAAAGTGAGTCCTGAGGTCTCACGAATTTTTTTCTATAGAAAAAAAGTGAGTCCTGAGGTCTCACGAATTTTTTTCTATAGAAAAAAAGTGAGTCCTGAGGTCTCACGAATTTTTTTCTATAGAAAAAAAGTGAGTCCTGAGGTCTCACGAATTTTTTTCTATAGAAAAAAAGTGAGTCCTGAGGTCTCACGAATTTTTTTCTATAGAAAAAAAGTGAGTCCTGAGGTCTCACGAATTTTTTTCTATAGAAAAAAAGTGAGTCCTGAGGTCTCACGAATTTTTTTCTATAGAAAAAAAGTGAGTCCTGAGGTCTCACGAATTTTTTTCTATAGAAAAAAAAGTGAGTCCTGAGGTCTCACGAATTTTTTTTGCTATAGAAAAAAAGTGAGTCCTGAGGTCTCACGAATTTTTTTCTAGTTATGGACCAATCTTCACGAAATTTTGCATGTAGTATGGGTTCTGGCCAATGAAGACCCCTATTGTTTTTGGAAAAGATCGATTAATATTTTGGGGATGAAATGGACCAAAAACTTTATTTTTGTTGGTTTTTCTGGTAGCTCCAGAGGCCGCAATTATTGCCCAAACACCCCGAATTTTTGAATGGAGAAGGGGATCGGACCAAAGAATAAGCATGCCTGTTTTGATAAAGATCGGTCAATATTTAGCGAGTCAAATGGACCCTGACTTTTGTGTGAAAAATTACCAAATCTTTATTCTGGGGGCATATATACTTGCTCCTGAAGGACATATACCCGAGAAGTTGATAGTATATCCAAGAGGAGTTGTTGACCTTCAAATTAATACCAATTATATGGCTGTATGTACTCTGATGTGGGAGTTATCCGTAATTAGGTAAAGGTGACTATGTGCCTAGTATTACTATTACTCCTTTAGAGGACGGAAATTTCGCGCTGATCGCTTTTAAATTGTACATGAAGTTCCGATTATGGTCAAGGACGACGCCTATAGTTTTCGGTGAAGTTGAGATTTCATTCAGGGGGTGCAATGAACAGAAAACTTTAATTTTGTCAGATTTTCTAGTCGTTCTAGAGGCAATTAGTATAGCAGAACATCATATAGCAATTACTTAGTGCGGCTGTTTAGATGAGGATCGGTCAATATTTCGAGGATCATTTTAACAAAAACCTGAAGTGACCAAATATAAATAAGTGCAAATATCACGAAATATTACCCAAGCTCAGAATATAGAACCGCAGAAAGTTTGCTTTTCGTGGTAGTTGTGTAGGGTATCATATGGTCGGCCCCGTCCGTCTATACTGCTCCGCTCACGGGTTTTTATTTTTCTTCTGTTAATCTCTTGTTTCTGTTTACTTTGGTTATTATTTCAATTTTTATGTTCACTCTGTTTACTTTATTTGTCATGCTCGTTTCTCTCTCTCCTATTTTTTTCTTTTGTTTTTTAGCTATTTTGTTAAAATGGAAAACAATAAATTCTAGTTAAGTGAATGTCATGCCAGAATGCTATATGAGGTGTACGTGAGTGTGGTTTGAGTTTATGTGTCTGTGTAGGTGACAGACTGAGTGTGGATTTTATTAGTTTAAATCGAAATGGAAAATAATATTTGCATTATTTTTTCCCACCTCCTAGATCCGAGATATGTGAACAGCTAACAGTGAGGCACACCATCCCTTGCTCCCTCCCTTCCTCCTCCCATACACCCAACCAACACCAATCTTCCATTCTATAATTGCTTTTATATTCATATATATGTATATGTGTGTGCTATCTGGTGGTGTGCTATTGTATTCCAATGCAAAACATTAATACCTCTTGGGATAAAAATGTTGCAGTTTTTCTATATCGGCGAACAAATAGTTCGGGTTTGTTGTTGTTGCTTTTTGTAAACATGAAATATATTTGAAATAAATACAATTTGTTAACAACAAATTGAAACATTGGTTGGCTAGCTGGTTGGATTGGATGCTCGATTGGATGTTTGGTTTTTAGGTGCGACTGTGTGTGTTCGTATTGTTCGCGCACATAGCATTGTCCGTCCATGCGGTTTGAAGGTCTCCATAGTCTGGCAAAGATCGAATTGAATTTCCATTTATTATCGCTTGACAATGAACAGACATTTTACCATTATTTATTTGGAGGTTTTTGGGGATTGTGAGTGTAAAAATAAATGACACCAAATTTTTGCTAGCCATCGAATGGAATTATATTTAAATAATTCAATGGAAAATAATTAATAATGAATAGCTGTAGTGAATTATTTTATAAATATCTGGCATTTCAATGACCTGGAATATATCGAGAGTATTACATTTTAAAATGTAGAAAAAATGACACCTGATGTCTCAGGATTTTTTTTTTTATTGAAAAAAAAGTGAATTATGAGTCCTGAGGTCTCAGAGATTCATAATATAGAAACTTTGGTATTTTTCTCATATGTATCCTAACAGACGTCGCCTTTTCAAAGGCACATTGACATGAAATTGAACGAACTTAAATATGTGATCTTTAATCGACTAACATCAATCCCTACACATGTCATTCTGCAATCTAGCCCTTTTACCTCAAATCGGACGAAACTATATATGGGAGCTATATCTAAATCTGAACCGATTTTCACGAAACTTAGCACACATCATTCTGGACCTAATTCAGTACCCTATGCCAAATTTGGTGTAAATCGAAAGATATATAGGGACTTTGGAGTCCCATTTACCTTAAATCGGACGAAAATATATATGGGAGGTATATACAAATATGACCCGATTTTCTCCAAACTTGGTACACGTCATTCTAGACTTAATTCAGTACAATATGCAAAATTTCGTGCAAATCGAAAGATATATAGGTACTT